TAATCTATATAATCTTAAATAGTTAGGAGTAAAACTCCAAATTACGTCTAAAAAGATTGGGGAAAATGATAAGCAGAGAGATTCAAATTCTGTATCTTTCATAAAGTAGGGTTAAAATATCGATCTTTTATTGACTCTAATTGTTGAATATAATTTTAACTTTAAGGCAACATTCAGTAGAACTAGTAATGGCATTAAAAATCATAAGGAAAGGGAGAAATAGCTTTTCTAGGTTTTTAAATTTTGCTTGAAGCCAGTTGAAGATTTTTAACTGTGTAAAGGTATTATATTGGCTATTCTAAACAATTTTTTGGAGAACAGATCTTATAAATTAAATATTTTGAATATAATATGTATGATCAGAACAGGCAAACACAAAACAAAATAACCTACTGGGTCAGACTGCATGCTTATTGTGTGCAGGGACTTCAACACATATCTCTGTATTTCAATTATATTTACTGCCAATGGGATAATCAAAAAATATTTGCTGAATTGAGATCACCTGATACAAAGATAATAAAACTGGAAACGTATAATCTTTTCCTGATTATTTTCAGAGAATACAGAATGTGAAAATATTCTACAAGAAAGCTTGGCAACGGAGACATGACTACATGATATAATCAGGATAGGTGATCTCATATGATAATATGTACATTCTGGCATCTTATCTGACAGCTGAAACTTAAGAATGGTTGCTAATATAGAGGCAAATTACCACATTAGGGATCAAGAAATAAGACTGACACCTTATAAATATAGAATTAAATATATAGAAAAAATAATATGTACTTGGAAGAAAATGGAACCAAGAATAAAGTGCCTTATTTATGAGAAAATTGAGGCAAGAAGAGGGAAAATTAAGAATGTGGTTGGTTGAAAGAAAACTATAGTCATCATTGGAATTTGCCTTTACTCTTCTATACATCTTGTTTGGGGATGAAGATGTGTAAAAACAGTTATTTTAAACATTTGCCTTCAATTTACTAAGAGTCAGATACAGCATCTGCTCCTCTTTAGATTGTAATTTCCTTCCCTTCCAATTTATTCTCAAGAATCAGCAAAATCAATGTAAATAATATAGCTCCACACATCACTATAAGGTGAGTAATAAAGTTCTATTTATTTAGCTGAAGAGAGCTTAAAGTTATCATGATTGGGTCCAATGAATAATAATAAAGGAATCCAAGTAAGTTCTCTTCTCTAGCGAAGCTAATAAATCACATCATTGGAAGAAAATATGAAATTGGATTCACTCTAAATTACTCTAGCAAAGGATCATGCAAAGCAGCTATAATGTTTTTTGATCACTGATTTTCTTAATGGAATTTAGAAAAATGAGTCAGAAATCAAAATGATTCTAAAATCAGACCGTCAGTGCTAAGGGAAAAATAGTCTATTAATCAAATAGACTTAGGTATTTAATTCATTAAATAGTAGCTGCATTTAAGTAATGGAGGGATACTCTTTTTTTTAAAGATTTTATTTATTTATTTGAGAGAGAGAGAGAGCATGCGTGCATGCACGCTCATGAGTGGGGGAAGGGTCAAGGGCAGAGGCAGAGAATCTCAAGCAGACTCTGAACTGAGCATGGAGCCTGATGCAGGGCTCGAGGAAGGACTAACCGGGGGCTCGACCTCACGACCCTGAGATCATGACCCTGAGATCATGACCTGAGCTGAAACCAAGAGTTGGATGCTTAACAGACTGAGCTACCCAGGCACCCCAGTAGTGGGGAGATATTCTTTAGAGAATATTACTATAGTTATAGACACCCTAGCCTAGAGAATTTTTTTTAGTGGAGTTGCAAACAAAGAATCAGAAGGTAGACCAAGTGTGGAACCATAATTCCATAAAGATTGGTTATTAGTGTTTTATATTGTGATTAAGTGTGTGTGGATATATCGCATGTAAAATGTTTTTCAAAGCAAGCTTCCATGGGAAGCCTACTTGCTTTCTTGTTTGTTCTTAAACCATTTGATGAAAAGAACACTTCAAGTAATGATGCTTCTACTGTAGTCATCATTCCAATGCTAAAGTTCTTGTCAACAAATCAATAAATTTGTATAGGAAGGGAAGAAATTCATATGCATATAGAAGCTCACTGGACTTTTTTTTTCATTCTGTTTTTCATAGAAAGGTCTGAAAACTAGTTTCTCGGGTTTAAGTGAAACAAACTTCTGACTTTAAAGAGGAACCGACTGAGTGATAGAGGATGTGAAGAACAAAGGCAAAAGGAAATGTAGATAAAATTAAACTTCTTTATAACTTGCAGCCCACTGACAAATACTTGAGGCAGGCAGAATATGACATTCCTCCAGGAACTCCCAACTGTCTTAATGTTAATGCCTTGCTAGAGGTAAAACACAACCTTAGCTTGACAATAGCTAGGCCCCCAGAATCCTGTAAGTCTTCTTTAGCATATGAAAATCCTTTTGGAAACTTCCTTTGTCTTTACCTCCCCCAACTCCAAAGTATATAATCAATTGCAACTCACAATCCCAGAACTGCTCTGCCTAGGGGTCCTGTCCCCGAGCTTTAATAAAAGCACATTTTTGCACTGAAAAATGTCTCAAGAATTCCTTCTTGACCATTCACTCAGGAACCCCACTTCAAATCACATCAATAGAGACCAAGTAAGAGTTCTGGAGGAGTTGGCTATCAAGCCACTAAGTACACAGAGAAAAAAAGAATTTATTATGTATGACCAGTGGTGTAGAAATCCAAAATATAAAATGTAACTCAGACAAATGTCTACATTCATTGTTGAATTTTCTATCAACACCTTTACCAACTTCTAGTAATTACGTTGGTGATGTAAGAAAGACGTTAAGGTTCAAAGCCAACGGCCAAGAAAGAATTCTTGAGACGTCTTTGGTGCAAAAAGGTGATTTTATTAAAGCACAGGGACAGGACCCATGGGCAGAAAGACCTGCACGGGGGTCATGAGGAGTGGCCCATTATATACTTTCAAGTTGGGAGGAGGTTAGGGATAGTGTAAGTCTCTAAGGAATTTTGGAAGCAAGGTTTCCAAGACCTTGAAGGGACTAGCTATTGTTGGGAAAAGGTCATTTATTACCGTCTAATAAAACCTTAGTCATGATACCCTTCAGATGTATATCAGTGGGCCATATGCTTGGGAGATGATTGCCAACACGTATCTTGGGGGGTTCAGAGGTAAAGGAAATTCCCAAAGGAATTTTTAGACGTCAAAGTAGACTTAGAGGATCCTGGAGGATGAGGGGCTTAGGCTAGGATTGCCTTTTGCTCTTAGCAAAGTATTAACATTGAAGCAGTTGAGTCCCTAGGGGAATGTCACTCTGCCTGTTTTAAGGACTTGTCAATGGGCTGTAAGTAGTAGGGAAATTTAATAGTTTTTCTTCTGCCTTTGTTTCCCACATCACTGGTACACAGATATAATTTTGATTTGAAGGCAAACTACCAAAAACTATTCAGGAAATTTCCAAAGCACCCTAAAAAATAAAATATCCTTTTTATTTTTTTTTATGTTTTTAGTAACTGCTAGTCAAAGGGAGAGCTTTAAAACAGACAAGCTGCCTTCAGAAATACAACTTTATTCACAATAATTTCATAATAAATGAAATATTACAGTAAATAGACTCTTTGTCTTCTAAAAGGTTACTCATTAACTAGCAGGAAATTCAATAATCCCTACTCCATATTTTCAAATGTTAAAAAGCAATATTAAAGCCAAACAAGCAAAGAAATATTCTTATTTTGGAGGAGAAAAAAAAAAACCTTCAAATTTAATCTTGAGCCACTCAGTTAATTTTTTTCTTATGCTGAGTCCCTTATAATGTGGATATAAAAATAACAATGGAGATCTGCAATTGTTGATCATGAGGCTTCTTAATTGTAACCACATATGAGTTTCAATTTCAATGAACAAGCAACATCCTTTCCCCATGTCATGTTGAGTTAGTGCCTAGCCCAGTGTAGTGCTGAGAAGGCATTTTTGGAATGTGAGCTAAATATCATTTTTTTTTAAATTACTTATGCAGAAAGCAATTTGAATTATTTCCTTCCAAAAGACATGGTAAGTCTACATAATTAGTTTGTAATTTGTATCATTAAATGAAGTCAAGATGGTCTTATAAATTCATTTCTGGTATTCTCATCATACAACCTAAAAATACAAATCAACAATTCATCACTATAGCTTAGAAATTTAAAAACCAAAATATTTAGGATGAAATTATTGCTAAATCAGGACATTGACATAAGACATGAGCATAGCAGTTCTCAGTGTGTTCTCTTATATTTCCACCAAAGAATTCTCTCAAGAATCTGACCTAAGAACTCTAACCGTAAGTTAAAGATGAAAAGTTTGTTACCACTGGGAGGATTTTAGACTTGATCTTAATAACCTTTCCCAATGAACAATGGAAGAGAAAGAAGGAGATATAAAGGTAAGATGGGGAGAGATTTCAGGAAAATAGCTGAAAGTATGCTAATGATAAGTGATATAGGAAAACGTTGGGGTTCGGAGCAAACACTCAAGATTGAGACTTCTTCCGTGCAAAAAGGTGGTTTTATGAAAGCACGGGGACAGGACCCGTGGGCAGAAAGAGCTGCCGCGGGGTTGTGACAGGTGTCTGATTGTACACTTTCAAGTTCGGAGGGGGTTAAGGCCAGGATAAGTCCCTAAGGAATTTTGGAAACAAGGTTTCCAGGACCCTGAGGGGTCTAGCTATTGTTAAGAAAAGGTCATTTATTTCTGTTTAGTAAAAACTCAGTCCTGAGACTCTTCAGATGAATATCAGTGGGCCATATGCTTGGAGGATGATTGCTAACATGTATCTTATGGGGTAGAGATAAAGAGTTCCTAGAGGAATGTCACTCTGCCTGTTTCAAGGACTTGTCAGTGGGCTGTAAGTAGTAAGGAAATTTAATTTTTTCTTTTGCCTTTGTTTCCCACATCAATAGGTTTAACAGAAATCCATAATCCAGTTTAAAGGGAAAGGAGACATAAATACCTTACCCCAGCCTATCAAGATGAAGCCCCACAGGTATTTGGTGTCCGAAAAGAATGCCACAAAGATTAGACTATGTAGGTAGACACCTTCCACCAAGATCCAATAGTAATTTGTAGCCAAGAAGTAAATGAACATCACAACAGCAATCTTGCACCCAATCTGTTACAAATAAACCAGAATTGCATCATATTAGAACTCTTAATTATACTACATGCAACAGACCATGAAAAAATAGTTCTGTATTTCTTTTTTATGATCTGTTTCCTGTATGTAGGAAAGCCAAGACTGTTGAATGAGACCAGAACAAAGTTATTTTAAGACAGCATCTCTAAGACTATGGGCTCGATTCTGTTCTTAAAATAAGATATTTTTCCTTTAGAAGTTACCAAAAAATCACTTTTCTTTGATTTTTCCTATTTATGAAAGTAATACTTGATCATCAGAGAAAATTAGAAAATACAGAAAAGCATAAAGAAGAAAATATTAGCCATTATTCTACCATGATTTTATTTTATTCTCATCTTTCTTATGCCCCAAAAGTCAATGGCTAAAATAATAAGCATTTACTACATCTTATGAATCTATGCATTGGCTCAGTGATTCTGCTGATCTGGGCCAGCCTCTGCTAATCTTGGCTAGGCTCATTCACAGAGCTCTACCCTTCACCAGCACACCATCACTTCCATTTCATTCTATGGGATAAAACAAGTCACCAAAACCAGCACAGAATCAGAATCAGCAGGGACTACAAAGTTACAGGGCAAAGGCCAAAGCCACAGAAAGGGCATTAATTCATACTATCAAGACATATAATCTATTATACTTAATTCCCAGATACAGCACATCAGTGATTTAATTAACTGAATTATTGAGTGATTCTATTTACTAAACAACACCAGGACATTTCAGAGTAGAATCAAGTACCCTGGAATCTTATATTGGAACAAGTCTGAATCTACAATAAAGAAGGTAAATGTTGTGGGCTTTAAAATAACACACTTCTGGTTTTGCAAGTGGGCTCTTTACTTCTGAACACGGTAAGCCATGAAAGCTAGTATGAGCTCCACATCAAATGCACTCCAGTCATGTGATTTTTGAAGTCCCCATGCCAGAATATTCTTATGGAAAGAGCTCAAGACTTTTAATAGTCTAAGATGATGAGTAATTAGGCATAAAGCTTAAGGACAGAATTGAGGTAATAAATATCATTATATAAATTAGTCATCTATCTTGGTTAATTCAGAGATTACATAAACCAAAACAAGTTAAGATTTAGTGGCCTGTAAAACTGTACTTGTCTGTAATGTTATAGGAATCAGTAATGAGAGAAAATGGTGAAAACACTTACATATTTTGATTTGTCCACAGAAGGCATTTCTATGGAATTTTGTAGGTCATCCTGCATCAACAGGGACTGCAGCTCCTTTACTCCTATGTGAGCATGGACCACTTTGTCCTTGACAAAGATGCTTACAGCTCTCAGCATGAAAGACACAAACAAGTGCATGTGGATATAGTTCCTAGTGCAATGCAATCGTCTATGGAGAGAAAATATTCAGTATTTACATTTGGATGAAATTAGATATAGGTAAAGAAAATACATAAATGTAACAAAAAAGAAGAAAATACAGTAAGCCTGAACAAAGACAGAAACCCATTACTATCTATTTCCAGTTGAAACAACTGGGATCAAAAACTAAAATGTAACTTTTTGAGAAATAATTTCAAATTTAACCTGATCTACTACTATATTTATCCCAATTTTGCATAGTTAACTATTGTGCTATATTAAACTAAAGCATTATACTAAAATATATATTAAAGTAATAATAAGTTATGACTACTGGAGAACCATTTTGATATTATTTAAAAATGGAGCTTTCAGGGGCATCTGGGTAGCTCAGTCAGTTAAGCGTCTGCCGTGGGCTCAGGTCATGATCCCAGGGTCCTAGGATCGAGTCCCACATTGGACTCCCTGCTT